AGATCTACATGCTGGATCTCCCACTCCCTCCCGCACCGGTGAAAGTGGTATGATACGCGGATGATGTCACCTTCCTCTGCCAACACCATCACATTGATCAGGCTGCGCAGGTCCTCTCGGAATCCATGCCTGATCGTCTGGGCTTCTTCAATCAGCGCGGATTGACGATCTCGGCAGCCAAGTCGTCCGTCAGTGCTTTCACGCTGGACCCGAAGGAGTTAAATCGTCACCCGGCTATCATCGTCAACGCTGAGGTTTTGCCGCTGGTTCGTAAGCCCGAGCACCTTGGCGTCCGTTTAGATCCGCTCTTCACGTTCGCGAACCATGAGAGGGAGGTCGGAAGAAAGTGAGCCGATGCACCAAGATCCTCAAGGCACCCACAAGCACATCCTGGGGACTCGAAAGAGACGCTGGCAACTACATTGAAAGCGCTGGCCAAGCCGCATCTTACCTATGCGGCACTAGTCTGGTCTCCCACAATCGGCTCCTCCAGCCTCCGCCACCTTCAGTGAGTACATAATGCTGCCTTCTGCATGATCATGGGCTGCTATAAAATGTCGCCTATTGATCACCTTCACGCAAAAGCTTCTATCCTGCCGGTTGCCCCTCAAAATACACTCTTAAGCCAGCAGTTCTGGTGAACCTGTTCGCAACCCGGCCATCCTAATCACCACCATTGCCACGCTCTTGAGCCCAGCCGCAACGTTCGGCCGTCCATTCGACCTCTCCACAAGGAAGATGTCGCCTCGTCTCTCTCTCTCGGATCTAACTTTTGATGGCGCTGCCACAAAGACAAGCTTCCAGCATCTTCACCAGCGAGCCGTTGTCGAGGGAAAAGGACGTTATTATCCCACGGTCCATTTGGGCGGCTATCGACCTCCGACTGCGGCCTCAGAACAACAACTGCCGGCGGTTACTCGCTGTACTCTGGCTCAACAACGCAGTAGCTACTCAATGCTTCTTCGCCAGTACCAACACCGGCTAGGCCTGTCCACACCCGACTGCAGTCCTAATTGCGACGTTTCTCCGCAGGACTGTCAGCATCTGTTGGCCTGCAGTTCCTGGTCAGGCACTCAACTCATCACCGTAGACCTTTGAATCAAGCCGGCCGAGGTAGCGGCTTTTCTCCGTCTCTCAACTGCACCCAGTTTGGACTCCGGCGGGGACTCCTGACCCAATA